AAGCAATTAAGCAAAAAATTTCATATTCCAAGTAGAATGACTCAATTCAATTTGGCCAACGCTTTATACATATTGTTTACCCCTGGACCTGTTGCACTTGCGCCTTCAGATCTTCGTGAACACAATACAATTGCGGAGAGGAGGCTGTCAACGGAATAAAAATTGTTAATTAAGTGAATCACCATACAACTAAACAAACGCGCTCTTCTTGATTAGCTATCAAAATAGTGTGGGTCGCTACAATCCATCGGTTGCTCCCTCTGCGCCTAAGTTGTAGATATTAGGTTTCAATGAGAACTTTGAGTACATGAGGAGATATTTTGTAGTGGAGGAGATGACCCGGCGAGTAGAATAGGAAGATTTGGAGAGGCTGCAATGGGCAAAGCAGTTAAAATCGAGATTTTACCTAAAATCGAAAACTGGGGTAAAATCAAAATCGTATAATCGAATCGTAAAATCGTAGGATTTTAAGTACCATATAGAACATAGCATATAAGAATATTAATAAGGTAAATTATTAATATCACAAAGACACATAGCATTTAAAATGATAATTCAGAAGATTTTTTTTCCATAAGATAATTCTCAAGATTAATGTTCCAAAATCACTATTTTAATTGCTATTTAATGTGTAACTCAAAATAATTCATGATGAAGGGATATAGTTCATGGGTTTGTCTCTTATTTTCATGTTATGTCTAGGTTGTTTAACTCAAAGTAATATTTCGACATCGTCTACTAAGTATGATTTAAAACTAAAAATAATTGAACTCCAATAAAATAAGTAATGTTAGTGGCTTGGTACAAATATATTCATTAATAAATTAATTAGTTAATAATGATGTTAGTTCTTACATACTTCCAATATTAGGACAGGTGTTTTACCAATAAGTTAAATGGGGTGAAGGAAAAGAGATTAACCGAACCCTAATTTGGTTATTTTTATTATTTTTGAATATTTTTATAATAGAAAAATATCTGAGAAGATTTCATCGCCCTTTCCGCTGAAACAGTTATACTTATTTTAAATTGGCTCAAACCACCTATTTTGTTCTCTTACGATCAAAATCCCGATTTCGGTACTATTTTACGATTTTAACGATTTTAGTCCCGATTTTAAACGATTTTAAGGTCCACCGATTTTATAGTAAAATCAAGATCGGAATCCCTAAGTAAAATCCTAAAATCCTACGATTTTACGATCAAAATCCCGAATTTGACTGCATTGGCGATGGGTGCACGATTAGTGGGACAAATAACAGTTTGGGTCCGTTTAAATGAAAACATATTTTTACTTTCGTGCTCAACAGACCGACCGCACTGGCATCTTCTAAATTTACCCCTAAAAAATTGCTCTGTACGCATCAAATTTGAAATGGAATCCCTCTTTTCTCATTTCACATTTCACATTTATATGATGTGTAGATTGTGATGAGTGTAGATGTAGACCTGTCATTGTCCTACAAATTCATTAACACGCCAAAAAGTGGTGAAATGAGCCACCCTATTAAACACAATCTTGCATAATGATCATTGGATCCAATCATGCCAGATTATGAAGAAGTTTAAAATGTAGCGGTTATCCCGACTAAAAGATTACAAGAACCAGTCTCATATAGTTTGCACAAAGATATAATTTCTCCATAGTAATTCTGAAAAATAATATTAATTTAAGAAGTCGATATTGCTTCTACATGTTTAATATTGCAATTCGATATGCAATATTCGAACCAGTGATATTTGGGCTGCAATTTTAGGGTTATTGTATATTTATAAAATAGATAGAAATTTAAATTAAGTATTAAACTACAACTAAAATAATCAAAGTATTAAAACACCAAATAAGTACTTACGGGAGATTCAGTGGCCAACTAATCGTTAAAAAAGTCATATGATTTTCATAATTTAGGTTCGTGTATGTTTGAATTTAAATAGATACAATAAATATACTTAGTGTGATTGGTTATGATCCTTGCTTGCCTTTAAAGAGACCAAGGTTCAAATCCCAGTGCATGCCTTTTTTATGATAAATAAATAAGAAAATAAGCAATTGTGAAGACCAAAATGTCCTTCCTATAATCACTCTTGTTGCACGAAATTTGAAATGGAGCAACAGTTTTCATCATTCGGCTTTTATTTATTATCTAGACTAAGCCCTCCCCCAATTATTTGAACCACCTCCCTCTCCTCTCCTCCACCCACTCTCACCTGCAACTGCAAATTGCTTTTTTTCTTCCAATCTCAATCTGGCTTTCTTTTCACCTTTTGAAATCCAATATATGCTTACGCATTATGATCCCCAGTAGTGCATCACCAAATCGACTCTCTTTCTAGTTTCTACGCATCTGAAAAACTTTGCTTTCTTTTCCTTTCCACCTCTTTGTTCAGGAAACCTGACAAACTTAGTCGGTACTGAAGTCCGTTGAGTCTCAGAAAGAATGGTTTCCCCTTCAAAACTGAAATTAGGAATTTGAATCCCAGCGGGTACAGTAATTACTGTGATTATGGTCATCTTTGCGGCAAATCACGAACCATTTACCTAGTTGGCTAGTTCTATGATTATGCCTAACATTTTGTTCGAGGTTTGAGATTTTGGAAAGAGGAAAAGAGCCAATTAAAATACTGTGGGCAGTCGTACGACGAACTTGATCGGACAGAGACTGGTGATTTGAGCACTGTGGCTGAGTGGCTGGCCTCTCGCAGGCTTGGCTCTGGTGATGATGACAGACAGCACAGCACAAAATGGTAGCTGCTGTTATCTCAATACATTGGGCCTGCCTCTGCTCTGTTATCTCCTCTCTTCCAACATTTTATAGTTAATTAATCTCAACTCAGCCACTTAATTAAGTTGTTAATCTAACTAGCTCCTCTCCCTTTCACATCAATAAAATAAGCTTAACTCCACTTCAACAGTTCAACTCAACCTTTTTCCAACATTCCCCCCTTAATTACGCTATCAAGCACCCTGTTTATTCAATTAATCTCGCTGCAGATTGTATGAGCCCACTCTGTAGATACATGATGATGAAGCACTAACCAAAGGTAAGATAGTCTAACGGTAAAGCTGTCGCGATAGGAAAGGTTTGGGAGGTGCAGATCCCAGGTTCAAATCCAAGCAAGTCCCGTTGGTGTTCCCGGAGGTACAAGGCTGCTCGGGGCAAAGTTCCGTTGGCGTTGAATTTGATTGCAGGTGGCCCTCAAATTTAGTAGGACTCGTTGTTACAAAATGACACGTGGAGTTGAGGTTCATGGAAAAAAAAATTAATGATGAAGCACTACACTACCTGATCAATGGGATAGAGCATAATCAAGGATCAAACCTTCCGACAAACTTGCTTCTTGGATCTTTTAAAATTTTGGTTTAAGAGTTAGATTTAGTTAATTATCATCGAACTCTAATAAAGTCTAATAAGCATAGAAACAAAAAGAAAATCGTTTAAATCTATGTAAAACAATTGTTTGGAAAAATACAAATTTTTCTTGCTTTCCTCCAGGACTATATGGTGAACTGGGTGGACACTTTTTCCTTGTGCTTATGAATCTGAATCTCATCCACTTCCAGTAGTATCCCCCATCCCATTGCTAGAGAATGCTGCGGGGGCCACTAGGAAATAAAAATCATTGGACTTGGTCAGACGAAAATTTGAATTGCTAAAATGCCTCGTATAGTTTTCGTTTTTACTTTATTTTATGTCATGGAAATGGTAACATCCGACTTTTTTTTAACTAACTAAGATATTGTGTGCTAATTGCTATAAATTTATTTTATATGATTTGCTTTTGTGTGCATTTTTAAGAGGTCACTAAAATTAATAATGATCAACTATAAGTATGTTTAAGTTCATAATTCTTATAAAAAGCTTATTCATATCACTACAAAATATATCTTTGTAATAAGGTTGAATGCTTCTTAGAATCATGGATCTCTCGTGGTTTGTCAATATTAGGTTTGTGCCTAGGGTGTACAAAAATGGCCATGTATAGAATTAAGAAGAAAATATATATTGGTTGAGTAAATGCCCATTTCTTTTTTGTGAAAGAAATAAATGCATCCTAGACTACAATGAATTTTGTTTTTTGAATAAAAGAGCCGGGAAAACCGGAAGTAGAAATTAGCTGGAGGAGGGAAGGTACAACATGGGGCCTAGCCTGTGGGGTTTCAACAAATGGACGGTGGAAAGTGGCCCAAACAGATAGAGAAGCCCAGTAACCAGATATATAGAGGAGTTGCTGTGGAGCCCACCTAATTCTGCCGCCTGCTAAACAATAGCGTACGAAAAGCAATTCCTACTAAAACATTTGGAGAAAAAAATATTTATTAGCTTCAAATTTGCGTTTCATGAACCCAAATGGTCCATCCAATTCCAATCCAGTTCACAACACATCAGTCCTGTTGTACTCGAACAAACTGGATCCAAAGTAAGATATAAAATAAAAAGCAAAAATGAGCAGAGGAGGATTGGATTTGATTGTTTCTGTATTACGAAATCTGGTGCTTCAAGCTGAAGCAAAGCTAATTTGCAGGGCAACCCATTTCACCTTTGCCCGCCCTTTTCCACTTCCCCCCTCAACCCTCTCCTTTCTTTAATACAAATATCGGTGTAGATCAAGGGAAGGAAAAAAAAAAGTACTCATCACTTGGGCTTATCCGATGTTTGTTATTCGCTCTAGTAATCAATCGATCATGACTTTATCATGATATTTATAACATGACAACATTTTGAAACGAATTCAGAAGCAATCATATAGAAGAAGCGAATTCATGGCATTATAACTCCGGAATCTGAACTGTTTGAGCTAAAATTTTATCTGCAAACACAAATGCTATTATTTTTTTACAATCTTTACGTATACCAAAAGGATAAGTTTTGAGTAACATGAATAATAGGAGTATACCACTAGCCTTTTATTTTGTAAAAGTTGAAGTGGTAGTGTGTAAAATTGGAAACCTCCCTAGTGTTGGTGCAGATTTCGAAGTTAAACTCTCACGACTGTTAAGAACACAGAACCCAAGGAAGTTGAGAGCATGTCACTTTGTCTCCTAATCTCTGCATGCAGCAACCCATTCTTTTCCCCTTTTGTTTACAGATATTCCAACGAGAACGAGAGAGAGAGAGAGCAACTTGTTAAAGTTAAACTATTATGGTCAAAGAACCAGCCAGCCGGCCTGCATTAAAAGGTACAAGTTACAACCCAACAACATATTAGATCCACTTGGTTTCTTCTTCTTGCCCTTTCACTTTCTTCCTCGATTCAAAGACCCCAGCTTCTGCCTCGACGAAATCGACAAAGTAAAAAGCTAACAGACGAAGCAGAGTAAAAAATAGGAAAAGCAGAGCACAACCCATCACGCCAAACCATTCAAAAAGAAGGAAATTCCCTTTCTTTCTTTTTCAACCTTTATTAGAATTTTACAGTCCACCTAGGGGAGGAAGAGCAGTAAATAGTAATGGTAAAAACTGCAAAGCAACACCACCATTTTACAGAGTCTTGAGAGAGACATTACTGGATCCTAAACAGAGCCTAGAGAGCTCCTAGAGAGAGATAACAGAAGAACTATAGATTTAAGATGTCTCCATTCTCTCTTTTCTACTGTTCTTTCTTTTCCCCTTGGATTACAAAGAACCTTCCCTTCCTGTTCCCTAAAGGACATCAAAACCAATAATTAATATAACTAACAAATACCCCCCACTATAGTTTATTACTAATGATACCCACATTATTACAAACAAAATTACCCCCCTTCTTCATCTTCATTCTTCACTATCCTTCTCCCACTTCTACTCCTGCCTGGTTCAAAATCAACCCCCCAAAAACAAGAAGAGGGAACTGGATAACTTCTTCAGTTCCCTCCTTCAACTAAAGTCTAAAACCCATCTTATTACTGTTGCCTAATATGGCCCCCCAAAAAAAACCCTAATCCCTACTATCATTCTGCTTCTTCTTGCTATACCTCCTTCCTTCCCCAGTTCCCCCAAAACCAAATACCCTGCGAATCAGTACGTCCACTCTTGAGGCAGCGCAGCCCCAATTTCATGGCTTATCAATGCACTTTCGGCGAGCATTGCTCTCTTCTGTTGCTGCTGTGCCAACATCGCGTTCCTTCTTGCCAACAGGGCCGCTGTAAAATAAAAATTAACAGAGCAAGAAATGAGTACTATAATTGAAAGGGGTTAAGAAAAATTAGAATTAAAATACAGGAACACTATTGCTTTTTAGTTTTTACCATAATCAGCGGCGAAAGAGGCATTGATACGAGACTGACCCTGGCCGCTATGACTCGCCGTCTCCTCCAAGTTCAAGTTGAGTGCATGGACAACCTTCGCCGGCAGAAGAACTGCTGAGCAAGCTTGAAAGTGACAAACCCACAAAATGTCAGTGTTTGAAATTTCAAAATCAAACCCCGAAAGTCCACCACCAGGAACCCAAAAGAGGGCAAGAAGAAAACAACAAAAACACAAGGAAATTGAAAATGTTGGTACCAGAAGGAGCAGGCTTCTTCTTGGAATCCACTGTAGGGTTCGAATATCTACGAGGAAGGAAAACCCCTGTCCCAGCGCATTCCCTCTTTGAACTAGAACCAAATCCGCCGCCCACATACCCTGCTGATGCGCTAGTTCCCAAATTCGAACTCGCTAGAGTCTGATTTTGGTTGTATTGGGCACGATTCGTTTGAAGCGGCGGCCAAGTGGGCAGCGGCTGAGGCGGCGGCCGGACAACAAATCTTCCGCTTTCATACACACCTTTACCGCACGAGATCTGCGGCTGCGGCGGCTGAAATTTCTGCCAGTTGGCTGACTTCACTTGCTGCTGCAACTGCTGCCTCTCCCAAACCGAAGGCCACTGCCCCTTTGGAGCTGCATGTTCGTGCCGCAACTGCTGATTCTGCACAGAGAAAGAAATAAGCAAAACCAAATCTCGGAATTTCCCCGAAAAAAATTACAGAGGTAGTATCTTCATAATTTTACCTGAGCCATGTGCTGCGGAATATTGTGGCTGAGAGGGTAAAACGACCCAGATGAGGGAATCCCCTGAAAGTTGCTACAGCTCTTGCTAGAAGCTCCGCCGTTGCTGCTGGCGGTGGCCATTTTCAGCCTCGCCACTTGTCCGGCGGCTTCGTAAATCAGATCCCACGTGTCGGTTTTAGCACCAAACGGGGACGGAGTAGTGGCAGTTGTCGGCGACGAAGCTCCGTTAGGGCTCCCGTTGCTCGAAACCGACATGCTTCCCAACCCGTTCAGCGTCGACTCGGGCGACCCGACCACGACCCGGTTCTTCTGTCAAAGCAAAAGAAAATACAGGGTTAGATTCTGTGTTAGTAGAAAAAGTGAAGAGGAAAAGCAGAGCAAAGGGGCGAAACGGAACACAAACCTGGGACTTGAAGGAGAGCTGCTGAGTCAGGCGACGAGTTAACCCGGCGAAGAAATCGTCCTCTTCGTCGCCGCTATCAGTGTCGGGGGACGAGTCAAACTCGTATGGGAACTCGGATGGGAAGTGGAACTCGGGTTTGAGAGGAACCCTGGGGTCCGGGTCTCCGACGGAGAGAGTAGCCATTAGAGAAGGTGGGGGGTAAGAACAGAGTGGTGAAGATATCAGGGAGGGAATGAGAGTCTCTGTGGTGGGAAGGAAGAGGGAGGAGGAGAAGAAGGAGAAGGGAGGGTTTAATAAAAAAAAATGGAGGAGACAGTCAAGTTTCCGCTGGATTTGCAGGCACTGGTGAAACAGAAACAGAGGGCCCAATAAAAAGAGAAGAGGGAGAGGAGGAGTGGGTTAGTGGTGGAGTGGAGTAGAGAATGTGGGTGGAAGACATGTCGCTTTGCTTTTTATTAAGGTTTTCTGATTTTCTTTTTAGCCGAACCCGAAACATTTTTCAAATTTAAAAAGAAAGACAAGGAGAAAGAAAACATCTAATCAATTCGAAAATTAAATATTTTTAGCTATACGAAATTGTTGAACTACGATTAAACGTTGATTTCTGTATAAAATACTTTGTTGATACAACTTTCGATGTGGTTTCACAATCTTTGGTATTTGCATGTTAAGTTTTGGCAATAAGCTTAGGCTTCAAATTAGCTGGCTTTCTGCAATCACATCTGAAAATATAAAAAAGATTTTATGCTCCAAAATGATAATAAGACGTGACATGACTATTTCGTTTGAACAAATTTTAAATCTTGTTCGACAAAAATTAATATAAAATATCATTTGAACATTTGAATTTGTACATTGATTTTGTTCAATAATTGGGTTATTAAACAAATTTTAAGTTTCGTATGAACAGCTTAAGAAATTTGATTTGTTGTAGGGGGTCCAATCAGTTGGAGGGATTTTGTCCTGCTATTTATATTCAACCCCACCCGCCAGTTGTGGTGTTGATAATTAATCCACTTCATTACTACGTGTCTTTATATTATTAATCATTCATTCACGTTAATTTGGTTCCAAGTGTTTACTTTATTAATATATATATATTTTTTTTTTACGGGAACCTTGAACTTTATTAATATTATTAAGCGCCTAATTGGTAATTAGTTGTCGGTTAATCACATTTGGGTGTGGCGTGGGTGGGGGACGGGCCGGCCGGGAATAGTTAAACACAACCCGGTCCCATGTTTTGTGTGTCTCTCTCGTCTTGTTGTTCTTTCTTATTCCCTCTCTTGCCCTACTTTTGGCGGGGTTTCTAATTATCCAAGGATGAAGGTGTGTAGATTTTTTATTATTATTTTAAAATTGGATTAGCCTTTGGAGTGGGGTTATGTCTGTTGTGATAAACTAGTTAGTCTCAATAACTCGAGTTGTTGGGAGGATTCATGGGCTTGAAGTTTGCACAGGCCAGCCGTACCATGTGCTTGTAGACAACTGTTATTAGGGTCGTGAAGATTCGAATACACGACCACTTGGTCAAACCATTTTCAATACCATGTCATAAACCAAACCTAATCTAACCGACCGACTCGATTACAACATGACAACCTTGGGGAAAATTGAAGAGAGAAACGCATAGATTCCTCTATTTGTTGTTGCTTCTAAAAAGGTGATTAGAGTGGAGTTCCATGGCTATGAAATTTATTGTAATTTTTTTTTTTTTTTGACAAAAGATAATATCGTATTGATAACAAAAATAGTTACATCCTGGACAGCAGCCAGGCCTGATAATTAAAAGCACGATCCATGATCGGGTACAAAGAGAGGGTTTTCCTAGCCACAAGATGGGCTACCCTATTACTACGCCGACCTACAAACCGAACCATCAAACCCGAATGGGCGCGAAAATAATGCAAAACCTCTTCTAAAACAGCACCCACTTGATTGTCTCTGGCATTCCCTTGATTGAGCTTGTCAATGATCACCTTTGCATCCCCTTCAAACACCACATTAGTGAAGTCATGCGCCAGGCACCATAAGATTGCCTCTCTAAGGACCAGAAGCTCCACCGTCATCGGATCACCTTGGAGAGGGACCTGAAAGCCCTTAGCCATAATGATCTGTCTATCCGGGGAAAACAGGACACATCCACCAGCTGAATGAGACCCTGGCCGAACCGCCCCATCCCACATACAAACCATCCTCCCAGCCACATCCATCCCTCTACCACCCCCTACCGGAACCGCCGGGTGAGTGACCTTGTCCATTGGCAAACGCATCCACTCCTCACATGAAATTTATTGTAATTACGATTATAAAAACGGAACAATCACAAAAAAATAAAAGGTGATTGAAGCTGACAAGCCTAAAAAAATGCCTTAATATGGAGATTATTGAGTCATATTTTTACCATCATTTGTCATTGACTTCTCCCGAGACAAGGCATCATTTGCGTGAGCAATATACCAAAGCCAGAAATCATGCATAATCCATTGCCATGATCGGCAATACACACACACTCAACACTCTCCAAACTGCAACATGCCCATAATCATTGTTGCTCACCGCATCCCCTTTTTTCCACCACCGCAACAAAGAGAAGAAAAAAAAATAAAAAAAAAACCCACACACACCAAAACTGCAATGAAGATGCTCATTTCATTGACATGATGATGATCGATGCACTTCACCAGTCTTGCATAATTGCTTAGACAACAATAGTAATGCACCAAATTCATGCAAATGCCATTTCCACCATTACTCAATCGTCTCAATTTACAACCCTAGAGCTGTCCCAAGGAGAGAAATTCACCTATCCCAGAAAAGAGGTTATGAGCCTCAGCACTATGTAATGAATGACTTTGTCCAATTCCCAACCCCCCTCCTTCTGGCTTCTACCCTTCCCCATGTCTCCCTGCTCTGGCCTGGCTTTTCAATGAAACCTACTGTAAATTGGGGTAAGTACTTGACAGTGTGAAATCGATGGCTTGCCCCAGCTACCCAAATGAATGGTTTCGATTACAAGTTGTGTGTTTTGGAACATAAGCGAATTCAGATTGAGCAGAATTTGCTTCTAGTCATTGATTATTCACCTGTGGCCTGTGGGTATGTATTGATTCGTATTTCGTAGAGTTGAGAGATTATGTGCTTCGAGAAAAAATGGATGTTGCTAGGGTGTGTTGTGTTCATTGACTTCATTAGTAGCCAATACCCAAAACGAAAAGGAGAAGAAAAAATCAGAGTGAACAAATTTTAAATAAAGAAAAAGAAGATTTTGCGTAGGTTGGTCAGGGCATTGTTGGCGCCTGGCGGGCTTTGCTTCAAGTTGCCGCAAATTTCTTTTGATTTTCCCGCCGAAAGAGAGAGAGGAGGTGGGACTTTAGGCGGTACTCGCGGAAGGGATGGCTGCTGGGCCTGGCTTGCCTTTTGGATTGCCCTCTCGATCGGATCTACACTTGCACTGTAGGTTGTCACTTTCGGAACAACATACCTTAGCCCATGACTTGACTTGAATTAATGTCGGAGTTGAGTTAATGTTCATTGGATTAATACTTTACTTTGCCTCGAATTATACCAAAACTTTGCATTTTGGTCCGTGGTTTATGGAATTACTTTTCTGATCCGAACTATGCGCCATATTTTCTTACTTGGCCCGACGCGAATTTTGGACCGTTAAATTGGACGATCAAATCCATTGAGTCAAGCGCCAGGTCACTTGCCACATTAACATACTCGAAATAAAAAAATTTGAATCTTTTGAATACACAACTAAATCAACATATGGCATTTTTATCATATGCAAAAGAAAAAATGTTAGAAACACTTTGTTTCGATGAATTTCAATTGCATTTTATTTGTGTTAAGAGAGGCACGAGATGAGAGAATAGAGAATTGGGTTGGATCATGTTGATTAGAGGGTTTTAGATTGGTCATGTTCGGCTTTGGGTTGGCCAAGCAGTTTTTTTAAGTATAAATTTTACTGACCTGGCATGGTGATGGGGCAAATTTGGATGATGGTAAGTGGATGGAGGTTGACATAATTATTCATGCGTTAGTCAATTAAAACGCAAGTGACTAATTTATTAAAATGTAAACGTTAGTGACCAATTTGTTAGCAACTCCAAATTTAAGTCATAGTTTATGCTAGGGTTAATATTTTTGTATGGCCTGAACTTTGACCAAAATAAACATCTTGGCCAATCTTTTCGATCTATAACATCCTGGCCCGAACTATACACCAAAATAAACAATTTGGCCAGATCCGACTTTTGACCGTTAACTTGGACAGTCAAACGCGTTGACCGTTAGTCAACGCGCCATGTCACTGCCAAGTCAGCATAAAATATTTAAAATAATTAACAATTTCCACACATTCCCTAATTTTAAATTATTATAAATTAAAAAAATCATCTAATACCTTAGTTAAACCAAAAATAAAAAACGAAAAAATTAAATATTTATCAGATCTTCTGACTTGGCAGTGACGTGGCGCGTTGACCGTTAGTCAACGCGTTTGACCGTCCAAGTTAACGGTCAAACATCGGGTTTGGCCAAATTGTTTATTTTGGTGTATAGTTCGGGCCAGGATGTTATAGATCGAAAAGATTGGCCAGGATGTTTAATTTGGTCAAAGTTCAGGACATACAAAAATATTAAATGCTATTGACTTTTACTGATCCTTTAAACCCCTATGGCCTATGATGATCACGAGTAGCATTGATTTGAAGTAGCATACCCACCCGCCTCAAAATATTTGGCAGGCACATCAAACATTATTTGGCATTTAAGGCCATCACGCGCTTCCTCGCCACCAGCAATCATTTCAAATCCCTCGGCCCTCCCTCCATCCACTTCCCCAAACCCAAGCTGCCTTGCCTTGGCATGTTTTTGGACCCTCACATTTATTAATTCCCCACATGAAATGGAGCTCACTTTGTGGTCTATTGGTTACTATATGTCGTGCGATAGTTTGTGACGAGAGGTTAGTTATTGTTGTTGATTGTTGTATCATATAGATTTTTTGTTTCCGAAACATCGAATTTAAATATACTGATACTTCAAATTTGATTTGTTAGACTTTTACGAGTATAGTGTTAATTATTCACTAGTGGTATTTCATATAAACATAATTAACTAAAACACTCCATATCTTCTGGCACCTTATGAACCCAAAGAGCCGCAACACCATTATCTGGTAGGCGCCCGCAACAACAACAGCAAATCCACCCAGGAGGACAGCTTCTCCTCCTAGGAATCAAAAGATGTGTGCAATGGTTTGTGAATGCTTTCCTTTTAGTTGTGAACACTCCCTACTTATTTTTTTATTTTGGTAAAGCTGACGATTCCTTTTTTGATATTTTTTTCAACGAAAATTATATGTAATTTCCCACATGATAAAAGCCATCCGAAATTCAAATAGCCGAGACC